TGGGCTACAACTTGAGGGTACAGACATTGAAGGATTTAAANACGCGCGACTTGTTTGTCGAGTGGCTGTACTCGTCCGTTCCTGGTCTACCTCCAGGGGATGGGCATTGGCGTCTTGTGGAATTTGTGTTTGAAAGTGCGAGGATCCTGCTCCACAGTGCGGCGAAAGCCCAAGTCGGCCCTGACAGTTTTTGCTCAACACACACAATAAGCTCTTTTGAGAATCAGAACAGAACCGAATGTCAGAATGTCATCATCTTTTGTATCTTCAATAACTGCTGAATCGACTGCGACTTTGTACTTTGACTGGATATGATCTGCTTCAATTAATTGAAACTTTGCTTCATTAACTTCATGCCTCTCTTCCCTCCCTTTGCTTTTGGCTTCATTTTTTTTTCTCACTGACACAAGACGCGCCACGATGAAGCGGGCCATGGGCGGCGCGCGCTCCTGGTGGTGCGTTGTCGTCGTTGTGGGGCGACGGGTAAGTGCTGCCGAGGTGCAAGCGACGACAGGGATGAACGGGTGGCCAAACGACATTGCCGCGTGACCGTCATGGATGGACCATCTTGCTGATCTCGTGTTGGGCTGCCATTTGTTGTCAAGACAATTCCTCGATCTGACCCATGAAGAGCCGCAACCGCTCGTGCGCTGATGGACGCGCTAGCTAGGCCCAAGAGCCACGGAGCCTGGTCAGATCCGGCACGAAACACTCCCGCTCAAATGCAGGTGAGAAACCGATCTTAGGCCCGCTTTTGAAAATGCTATCCATGTTGCCCGCTGCCAGAGTCAAGAGCAAGAGTGATTTTTGCGATTTTTGACGCGCGAATCGCCGGGCGTTTCCGACGGTAGAGCCCCACCATTAGTACCCCCTCAAGGGAAAAAAAAAAAAAGCGCGCCTTGGCTCCTCGGCCAACACCAAATGGCAGCCGGGCCTGTGGTCACAATTTTCGGCGCACGTCAAACCAAAGCTCACCTCGCATTCTTCACAAGCTTCCGCTGCTCCCTGTGGAGTCCTAATCCAACGTTGGCCGCCCTGTGACCCGCCAGCCCCACCATTAGTATTCCCCCC